GCATGGGATAGTAACTTTTGCATATGCCTATTCAAAACTGTATAATTTGGAAGAAAATGTGTTGTGGTGGTTTACATTACAACTTGGCGTGTGACAATATTTTAGGGGGACCAAGGGCCAGGTATTTGAAGAAAGGTGTGGTTACTAAGTGGCTCTTCAGATAACAGGATGGTACACATCAGTACTGAGTGCCGCATATTGGAGATAAGAACAAGTCAAGTGCCTTGTCTATTACAACTGTGAGCCAAAACAAACGGGGTGCCTTGGCTATGCCTTAAAAACGGTAAAACATGTTATTTCGAGTTAAAACTTTTGGGCCAACCCCAAAAAGGTCTCTCACCAACTAGCTTTCGACCAGTCTCTTTGGTCTTCCTCAGTAGACTGACCCAGTGGACTAAAAGTTTTAACCCTAAACATGTAACTACCAACACAGATGGACTTTCTTGATGGTGAAACATGTGACATAATCTGCATTTTTGAGATCATTCACGTACACGGGCATGAATGTAACTATTTTTATTTGGATTTACTTCATTTAAGTTTGAATATTAATTAACATAAACCTTATATATTGGTTTAAGTTTCAGTTACAAATATCATGAAAGTAATCTATTCCTGTATGACTTTTACACGAATACATTGTCATTTATCAGTCAATTATCATAGTTTAGTCCATACCGTGTACCATTTCGCTATATAGATTCAATTTCTTTATTTTCAAGCCAAACGACTTGTCATTTGGCATTAACAAGTGGTTAAATACCTCCAGACGGTTTTTGTGAAGTACAACACTCGTTCTCATTCAAATGTACAAAATGATGTCGCCACTCTTTAGGACTAGGTCTGAGCCAAATCATGGACCTCATTGTTGCTTTTTTTCACTTTCCCACTACACTTACTATGTTTTACGAAAAATGTACCACAAACCTAGGTTTGATTGATGACTTGAGAGAAATTATGGTCGCGGGTTGGATTTCTCCCCTAAAAAGCGGCTGTCGCCTGAGACGAAATAGAAACTTTAAAAAGCAGCCTAAAACGTAGCAATTTGATTACGGCAGTAGTTTCTGCCTGGTGAAGTCGGATGGCCAGGCCCTCTGATTGATCAAGTCAGATCGCTCCTGTCACTATTCCTGTACGCCGTGCGAGGTGTCTCATACCTGTCGCCAAGTTCTGTAACATCCGTTACCGCTCAAGTAAGGCGGTCGTGCAGTTTAGATAGAGTCACATATAAGACATGAAATTGCCATTTTGATGACTTTTAGCAAGTTTTCTAGGTTTCTAAGAGAAGAAGAGAAGAGTGTGTGCTGTCATTTGTAGCCACATTCGCTGAACAAATTGTTTTTACNTACACACATTTCCTCACTCCACCCAGGATGAATGTGTACCTATCTTTGGCTGGGGAAAGTTTTTTTTTTTTTTAATTCCACCATGTAATCACCAGGCGTGGTGACGGCACACTCAAGTTTTTTTCAACTTATATTAATGCCGCCACCAACACGGGACAAATACATGATAGGACAATACTCATGTTCACCTGAGCGAAGTGAGGAAAGTCGTGTTAATTGCCTTTCCCAGGTGCACAAGATCGGTGGCATGTCAGGACTCGAACCCGGGACCTCTCGGTTCCGGACCGAGTCGTGCACTCTGCCGCTACGCAACACGACCCCACAAAAGTTATATTGAGATCACCTTGTGGCGCCGAATGGCAGCCGCACAGACCCTTGCGACAGTTTCACAAAAAAATGTGGAGCAAATATGTGTATCATGTGTATTATCTTATTGTGATTATCATGTGATACCCTGCATCAATTTAGCCGTATAAAGGCTGCGACTGCACGAGTACGGTTTGGCCAATAAACCATCAACCATTTAAATTTGTCTTAATGTCAAATGTATGAGACGCGCGCCCTTTATAACCCACCTCCTCTACCGGCCGATTCAAACCCGCTGCCAGCCCACTGGTGTCCTTCAGCAGTTCTTTGTACTCATCGTCGAACTTGTCCATCTGTTTCCCCAGGTAGTCCTGCAGACCACTCACCACCTTCTCCTGGTGGTTCTCCACTACACCGTCCGCGATCCTGTCGCCAAGCTTGCTGACGACCTTTCCTCCTATCTCTTTCGCTGCTGCTGCCAGAAAGACAGGAACTGCCCTTTTCGTGATTTTGTTGCCGACAGGTGAACTTTCTGCTTCGTGGTGGGATCCTACGATGTACATATCAATAGTTATATAGCCATTTTAGGGAATGGGATGTCCAAAATGTAGTTAATCTGCCGGTACACAGCATTTTGCATCCCGCACAAGTGCACATTGTAAACCAATTTGGACAAAACCTGCTCTTCTGTCTAGTTGAATATTAAAATATGGCCGATGTAACATAATATATATTTTCTTTGGTATACAATAAAAAAAAAGGACGATGGTTGTGTTGGCTCCTACCTTCTTTTTATTTCTTTGTCGAGTAATAACTGTAATTACCTTTAGAACGGTAACTAATTGTTTATGAGAAAAAGAGATTTTGTAGTTAAATGTAAACATTTATGTAAACAAGGATTCATTGTTCTGTGGACTTCAACCAAAAATATATTATATAAAAAGGGCTGCCAATAATGCATGGGATAGTAACTTTTGCATATGCCTATTCAAAACTGTATAATTTGGAAGAAAATATGTTGTGGTGGTTTACATTACAACTTGGCGTGTGACAATATTTTAGGGGGACCAAGGGCCAGGTATTTGAAGAAAGGTGTGGTTACTAAGTGGCTCTTCAGATAACAGGATGGTACACATCAGTACTGAGTGCCGCATATTGGAGATAAGAACAAGTCAAGTGCCTTGTCTATTACAACTGTGAGCCAAAACAAACGGGGTGCCTTGGCTATGCCTTAAAAACGGTAAACATGTTATTTCGAGTTAAAACTTT